ACGGAGTTGGGCACTACTCAACATGACCCAGGCTAGCACCAAACTCCTACTTTAGCTCTCCGGATGAAGGGAGAGATTTTCAGTGGAACTTGCAAGACACGAGGCGCTTTTGAAAATCCCACACTAACCATTAAAGAATATTTTTTGCAAAAATCTTGTTGGTCTAAGAAAAGATATCATCTCTACTATGAGTCCTGATTGCCTTTTCCTCTAGACCAATACGGCTACAACCTGGATACCTGACACTTTATAATTCTCTGTAGAAAATCTGCAAATGTGTTTCAAGATACGACGACACGTGCAAATGAAGACTACAAAAGCTTCTTGTTTCACATCAGACTCTCCTATATCCACTTTGCTTCCCTCATCTCCTCTTCACCTTCCCGACACCGTTAGGGAGGTATCACATCCCCGTATTCTTGGTTGTCTTATTCCTGATCTCTAAGATAAGTGCAGGATTGAAGACTTGGGCTATGCAGACAGTGCAGTACTTATGCCATCACTGAAGATACTTTCACCAGTAAAACCAGATGCCTATTAACTGCAGCGATGCATGCGCCACTCGGTCCCATTTCCATAGAGTTACTTGGGCAGATTTTGAATCGGAGAGACTTCACGGTTCTCACTTCCCCTGCTGACTCTCAGTAAAGGTAACTCTAGGCACAAGAGGCTTATCTTACACTTTACAAACCTAACTGAAATGAGCTTAAAACCAGAAAGATCGACATTCCTACAAACTAGGAAGCGGGAGTCTCTCTTCAGCAGCGTGGCACATGGCATGCAGAATTCACATAGACGGGCTAGGAGTCTTGCTGGCAGAGCCGGTTGAATGCAGTGCAAGGGAGTGGGAGATACTTGTTGATGTACTTGTGAATAAAGCCCATTGAGTCATCCCGTGGGTAAATGCGAGCCCTTGCATTTGCAAACATTTGGATGGCCACCTTTTTTTATTTGCATGACTGTTCACGGAAAAGCAACATCATCCTGAAATGTCACCGTGACTAAGTATTCACAAGAGCATTCGTGCCGGCAACTGCTCTCTCAGCCATTTCCAGAAGTCCTTTTTACCCTTTGCACTACAGATTTGTTGCGCGCTCGCTAAATGTTAATGGACAAACGCACAAATGGACTCCGGTTCAAGTCATGGAACAGGGCGGGGAGGAAGCAATACAAGGTGACCAGTCAAACAGCAACAATGGCAAACAATAAACAGTGGACACGCTTTATCCGATTTGCAAGGAAATCATGCGCTGGACTTTGTTCACACAACGTGTGTCTACACGTACATTTACATCAGCTTAAATTCACTGCGCAGTAAATGGGAACAGGCCGGCATCTACACATGCAAGTGTTAAAGCGCATTAACGCTGTGTGTGGACTAACTTGGGCTTAAAGTTAGTCCCAAGTCAGTCCACGCACACAGTGTTACTGCGCAGTAAGGCATCTACATGTGCGTTACTGCGCAGTAACTAATCGGGTATGACATTTACGCTCCAGTCGGTGTAAGTTGCCATATTACTGCGCAGTGCGGGCATACCCGTGTAGACGCGTGCCCATGCTGCAGTCATTTCAGTTACTGCACAGTAAATGTGCATGTGTAGACGCGTCCACAGACTCATGAGGATAGCAAACAAATGTCTTCTAGACTCATCTGTCCTCTGCCTCTCACTGCCAGTACTGGATCCAGTCCTCAATCCCACACCTCCAGTGGGCCAGTCTCTTTCACCAATTGGTCCCACTTCAGTCCAAATTCCTCTGCTTCCTCCCATGCTGTCCCTATACACAGGGCAAGTTTTCTGATGAAAACCTGCAGCGCCACTACACTTATCCTCTTTAAAACACACCTCTAGTGCGATGCAAACAATGGCTGGGAAGTGGGTGTTTTCAGGCTACTGCTTATTATGCTATCCATGGTCACAGGACTGCTGTGTTGCCCTCCTTCCTGCCCTCTGGTTATTGTATCCACTCGTATGTGATTTGAGGCAAGAACAGTCTTTTCGTTGTTACTGGTATTAATTATGTGTATTGCAGTAGTGCCTAAGTCAGGCTCCCCATCACACTAGGAGCTGTGCAATCATAAAACTGGACCTTACCAAGTCAATACAGCCCGCCTATCCCAACAGGGTCCCGATGCCTAACTGGGTCTCCCAAGTATTACCACAATGCAAATAATAATTCCCTAAAAAAAAAAAAAAAAAAGAAAAAAGAAATCACAACTTGCTGATGGATAATTTGAGACCTGAAACAGAAGAGCTTGATTGAATCAAATCTCCTATTCACCGGGAATAATCTGAGCCAAGGCAAATGTTCCCTCATGGTCAGTCTACAAAGTGAGAGAGCTCTCCCCGCAGCGATGAATAAATGCACACATAGTCGCCTTCCTGGTCCTTGTAAGGACAATAGCACAAGGGCAACAGTAATGCTGGCTAGAAAATGAAGTCATGACCGAGAGGAGTCAGCGACTGGCAACGCCGCCACAGCACCTCACGAAATCCGGTTCTCCTAAAATGCAAACCCAGCCCTGGCGTTTTTGCTGGGGTGTCACAGAGTGCATTTTTGGTGGCATCCAATTAACTGAGAACAAAACACCTTGAACACCGGACGTTGAGTAAAGGCACAACAGAGGGCTATGCAGTCATTACAGGAAATATCTGACACGCTAATCTAAGTGGCCGCGGTCCTGCAGCCGGCACTTTGCATGTGCAGCTAATCTGCCAATGATTGAACGAGCTGTTATTGAGCATTTGCCCTGTTGAGCTGGGTTTTTCTTCTCCTTATTAATCATTCATTTTACACAACGGTAACCTCCTGTCCCTAAGCAACACTTTTTTTTTTTTTTTTTTTTTTTTTTTTAAATAAAGCAAATTCAGGTTGTTTTAGTGACTGGATCCCTTATAATTGCAGGGGCAGTTAACTGAAAAACGGGCACAAACAAAACCCTGCGAGCGGTAAGGATAGACAGGGAATGAATTCTTCGGACAGGAAAACTTCTGGGGTTAAAAAGTAGGAGACAGCGCTAGAGCCACGAAGCTCTGGTGTAATATGGCCATTTAAGAGGATTTGCATACCGCTCATTAACCTTCCAGGGGAGCAACCCAGACCCCTGTCACTGAAAGCAGCTGTGTGCACGTGTTCACTCCAGTCTTGGTATCAAAATTTAGCCTCTGCCGCTCACTTCAGAGCATTTTTGGTCAGGTCGATCTGAGGGAGGAACATCCCATTTCCAATTTTATCTGGTTTGCACCAAACCTGGAGTCAATGTGAAACCTCACAACTTAAGAAAAGTGTGAACAACCAGGGCTGTACTTACAACCTAACGCTCAGGTATAAAAATGAAAATGAACTCCTCTTTTTGGGTGCTGGAAAACACCGGTACGTTGTTCGGGAACACCATTTTGCCAGCCACAGCCAATGCAGCACAGGTCCTGGGGTGGCTGGTGTTTGCAAGGGCAAATTTGAGTGGATAGGTCATGGGACTGGAGTCAGGAGACTCCAGTCCCTCTTATAACAGCTTACACCAGGTGAGCATCTCCCGTCAGTACTATCTCAGCCATTCCTCCGCTTTGTGGATTTGCATCAAGCACCCACATCACTCTGTGAGCCTCAGTTTCCCTGCCTGTTAATTAGCAGCAATGATACTTACCTTCCTTTTGTAAAGTACCTTGAACTCTGTGATCAGCAAGAGGGTAATCAGATGTTTATTGCCATTCAAAACTCCTTATTCATTGTATAATTTTCAGGGGGGTTTAATACAGAGGTCTACACGTTGTGTTTTGGGATTGCCTGGAAGCCTTATTCTGTATGCACTGGCATGGTAATGGGATATGCTCTTGCGAGAGGCATGGAGAGAAGAGGGGGTGGCAGGGAAGGAACAACCAGCTATGAGCTGTTTTGCAGCTAGGTTGGACACATTTAATCAGAAGTTTTTGTTAGGCCTTTCAGCTGTGTCTGTGCAAAATCTTGTCCTTAGTGAAAGCAGACCAGTATTCCTGGATCCCTGGGTTGGGTTTCGTGTGCTTAGAGGGGTAGAGCGCTTTTAACAAAGGATTTGGGAGACCTGAGGTCAACCCACCATGGGCTTCCTGTGTGGCACCAATGCTCACTGGGCATCAGTCCCCCACTGGCCAAAACTGAGATACTCATTCCTCCCTCACTCCCACACCCTCCTACATGAGAGGGGTCAGGAG